TATTAGGGATGGATACTTTCCCCTGCTGCCAGACTGGACCAAGTGTCCAACAAGTCTAAGCATCCTCCATCCCAGATGGAGATGGAGATGCCTCCGGTAACCCCACACACTGGACTGGAGCCCATTGGGGGAAACTTGCACAAAAGCTGGGAGGCCACCAGATAATTGAGGGTTGGGGGACGGGGGTACGCCCGTCAGCAGAACTCCAGGGGTTAGACTCGGATGCCAGCTGAGCCAGATAAGGTGGCCTTGGGTTAAGAGGATCATTCAAACTGTTGCACAGGTAAGAAAGTAGAGGGTGCAATTTACATGGAAACTCAGGACAGAAGATGGGCATCAGGCATGGAACAGAGCATAGAAACCCAAATTCAGGAAATAGGACCACGGCAACCATTCCAGGACAAGGTGACGAAGGCCAGTGCGTTAAGCAAAGTGGCCGTGCTTCCAGTTAAATCCTTTTCAAGCTCTAAGTTTATGGTTTTTCAAAGCAAGGGACTGTAGGGATGTCTGCAGGTGCCCTGGCGACCCTGTTGGGGATCCCAGGAATGGGGAGCGGTGGGGCCCAGTTGGTCACATGCCATTCCACCTGGTGCGGCAGGAAGGGCTTTTGACCGCAGGGGCCCCTGCCAGGTCGGCACCGGCAGTGCTAGGAGCAGCCCTGGAACAGACGGTGTGTAAGAGGCAGGCTAATTCTCATCAGCAGCACCCTGGGCTGGCTGGCTTCTCCCAGGGAAGCCACAGACAGCTTCCCTTCCCAGGCCCCGCTTGCTCCTTCTGAGTCCTGCTTTGCAAATACTGTCCGGGGGCAGGTTTGCAGGACCCCCACGCTGACACCCAGCTATTGTGATGTAGTGCACAAGGGTGGGCTGTCTTCACCTGACACGCATCACAAAGCAGCCACCAAAGACAATGTCCAGTCAGGGCCAAGCAAGCTTAGTGTGAAGGACAGGAGGGAAAAAGGGAGAGGAGAGGGAGAGAGAGAGAGAGCAAGGGAGACGGAAAAAAAGAAAAAAAGAAAAAGAGGTAGGCGAATTAGCCAGCTATCACGACTGATCATTGACCAAGCTACTTAAAGATCTATCAGTCACATTGTGTCCTGTCTTTGGGTTGCTCTGTTGGGAGTTTGCCAGACAGAAGAGCTGGGCCACTTGCTGTCCTCCTGATGTTATTGGACTACAGCTCCCATCAGCCCTAGCCAACATAGACAGTGGCCATGGATCATGGGGGCTTTGCGGCCCTCCCTTGTTACATACCCTGCACTGCAGCCAATTTCTGGATGGGCCAGATGTTTCATCCCCATCAATTAAAGAAGGGAACCAAAGGGCAGAGACAGGAAGGTGGGGAGCTTCAAATCTACCTCCCCATCCCCAACCCCCCTCTGCAACTAGCTGGACTAACATCAGATTTCTGAGCTTGGCTGGAAGAATTTTATTTCCAAAACTGGGAAGGGGCATTTCACAGAATCGTAGAATAGGAGAGTTGGAAGGGGCCAAGAAGGCCATTGGGTCCAACCCCCTGCTGTTGCAGGACACCAAGTCACACCATCCCACTCAGAGGGCTGCCCAGTTTCTTTCTGAAGGTCTCCAGTGTGGGAGAACCCACAGCCTCTCCTGGCAGCTGGTTCCACTGCCACATTGCTTGGGGAGTGAGGAAGCTTTGTAGGTGTGCATGCCCCTTTCCTCACCCTCCAATCATATTTGGCAGCTACCCTTCAGCCCCATAAAAGCCCCACAAGGAGAATTTGGGCCTGGGGGCCTGGGATGTATTTTCCTTTAACGTCTAGTTTGGGCTAAGCTGAAAGTGCAGAGAAAGGTGGCCAAAAGGCCAGAGCAAGTCTGCTGTGAGAAGACGCTACAACAGCTGGAACATCTCAGCTTAGTAAAAAGACAAGTCAGGGGAGAGAGAGGCCTGTAAAATTATGGCTCTTGTGAGCAAACGGGACAGAGTGCTATTTTTCCCTCTCTCATAAAACTTGAATAATATAATACAGCAAATGCTAAACAGTAACCTGGCTTGGAACTGCTCTCTGAGAAAGGGGTGCAGGTTTGATTTTATGACACAAAGGCACATATAAGCAACTTTTTTCTACCAGGATTTATTTGGATTTTCCCAGCAGGTGAAATAGCCTAGCACAACCTCCCCCATCCTCGGGCCCTCCACTATAAAATCAAGCCTGAGACCTTGGCTCTAGTCCAGACTTGACTATGAAGTCACTGGGTAACCTAGTCGCTCCCTAACCTACTTCACAGGGTTGTTGTGAGGGTAAAAATGAAGCTAAGAGGAAAAGGGGCTGAACTGCAATGTAATAATAAGAACAATAACAACAACTCCCATAATCCCTGACCCTCAGCCATGATGGCTGGGCTCAATGGGGGTTGTAGTTCAAGCTGAAGAGTGCCAAGCTGGGGGGAGCTGGCCGAGCAGCATCGGAAATGCCAGAAGTGCTGACATTATCAAGGGCTGGATTTGCATACCCCCAAATTTCCCTAAGATGACTCAGTCCATGGGTTTTGCTTTTGCTCATGATCACAATCTGACTGGTTGCCATAACTGTGACTTGGAAGGAATTTTCCCTCTGACTCAAAATGCTGCATTATCCTTCCACCCACCCTCACAGGGGGTTTTTGCCCCCCCCCCCCCCACTTGCACAGACTCCCCAAGTCTTCTGCCTGAACTGTGTGGCTTGATGTGTCTTGTAAACTCTGACTCTCTTCTTGCAGCACATGCCAAAGCTAAACTAACTACGATGCCAAGGACTCTGCAGGACACACAGTTGCGTGAGTAAAACAAACCACAACAAAGCCAAAAGATAATGCAAGTACCATTGGTCAGTTAGGGGCTGCTTTAAAAAAAAAGAACCCATGAGTATGTACAATAAAGAAAAGCTCCTCTGGGCATGTGCAGAAAACCTTTGGCCTCACCACTGAACATCTGCAGCTTGTTGCAACTACACACTTTGAATGAAGGAGTGAAGCAAATGGCAGAGTTCTCCGATTCCCATCCAGTGGTCCAAACCTGAATTCCATGAACTCCCATTCACAAAAAGTATCTACAATTTAAACATACACAAACAGTTTCAATGCCCTGTTGGAACCCCTGGGACATCTGCTTGTAGGTGTATTCCATACTGTGGCTGCCATGAGCACGGCTCCATCCCAGTTGTAGTTTATTAACCAGTTACTACCTGTGCAGCTCACATCTGCTGCAGTTCATGCAATGGAGAAGTCTGCAAATTCTTTGCAACTCTGAACATAAAGGCCAATGCCAAGAATGTGAAGAGCTGTTGCACTAATTGCAAAGGTGAAGGTTAGCATTTTTCTTTAGTGTAGGCATGTGTTGCTCCAATCCAGACAGACAGAGACCACTGGATACCAGGAAAGGATTAAACCTTTTCCAAGAGAATAACCACTCCATGAGGAGAGTGGTCGCGAAAAGAATGAAAAAGACCTTTCATGAATGCTTTTCGTAAGGGAAAAAGTGGCGTTGCTGAAGGTTTAATCCTCTGCTCCCAGAGCAAAGCAGTCCAACTCAAAATCAGAATGCCTGCTTAAAGAAAAAGCTAATCCTGAGCCTCACACTACATGTTTTCTGAGTAATGGCAGCCTGGCTGGAGCAGGCTGGTAGTAACCTTGGACTGCGGGGAGTTAGGAGGACTGGGGAGCCTGCTAAAGTAGGCAACACTCTGCAAGGCAGGCTCTACCTAGGCACACCTGCCCATCTTTGCATCAGAGTGTTAGCATGACAGAAAGTGCCTCAGAAGAGCAGAGTCAAATTCTAGCCACTGGGATAGATGATGCAGTTTGATGTAGACTCTACATTGTAGAGGGAACCAGGCTCAGACATTAACCTCTCCTGTGACAAAAAGGATAAAGATATCAGAGGATCCCCGCCCAGGACTATGCCTAGTCTTGAGAGAGCTGCTCATAATCAAAGCCCAATTTGAAAGAAAAAAGGTGGGATATATATGTAATAAATAAATTGACCAATGGTTACCAGTTATAATGGCTATATATGGCTTCCAGTATCAAAGGCAAGTATGCTCTCATTAGCTAAGGAACACAGGTAGGAACATTCTGTTGAATTCACATTCCACTTATGGGATTCCTATAGGCATCTGCTTGGCTACTTGGGCAGTTTGCTGGTCTCTGTGAGCTTTGGGCTCTTCTGGTGCTCTTAAAGGCCGATGGAACATCTTCTGGTCTTAGAGAACTAGCAAATGCCAACTCCCCATGTCTGTAGCCAGCTGCCACTTGTTGCAGCAAAGACAACCAAGGTTCCTGCGGCATTTTAAACAATGAATGTGCAATCATATAATTGCGCAGACAGGCAAAAGCCCCGCTCCTCCCAGCATTCCTCAGCCGCTGCCCAAAATTATTTAGTGCCTTCCAGATGCATTCCACAGCAAATCTATGCTTTTTTTAAAGAGGCCACAAGACCAAACTGGCTAATAAGGCACCAACCACCTTATTAGTCAGTTTCAGCAAAGGGAAGAATCCGGCACATCTATGACGAGCGCAGCTTCTCTGGATCAGAATTATCTCCTTTGGCTGCAGTCCATGAAAGCTTATGCCAGAATACATAGCGAGAGTGTCGCAGGCTGCACAGTCTTTGCTGCCCAAACGTTGGAAGCTCGGGCATTGGCTTGCAAGCCGAGAAACGAACCCCGAGGAACAGGCGAGCAACTTGGCAAGGGAAACGACGCCGCAGTGTATGTTCTGCGCGGATGATGCGCACAGACATGGACGGAGGCAGGCCAGGCCCAGCGGCCTCGCTCTCCCGGCCGCGACGGGCCGGCTCAGGCGCGTTTTGGCAGCGGGCAGGTGGACGGAGGAAGTGGATGCTCGAGCGGAAAGCCGGCGCGGGGGCGCAGGCGGCTCACCCTTGGCGCGGCGTCCTGGACGGGGATTGCGCGAGCCGGAGCGGAGGGCGGCGCTCGAGGTTCCAATCACCAAAGTGCAACCCGAGCAAAGCGGTGCCAAACGGCTCCGGATCCGCCTCCTTCTGTTTCCCCTGGCCGGGCGTGACTTTGTCTTTCGCTTTTCTTTCCCCTCCCTCCTCCACTCCTTCCGTGTCCAGGCTGCCGCTAAGCCGCGCGTCTTCTTTGCTGCTGCTGCCGCTGCTAAGCCGGGCCCAGGCGAACATCCCCAGAGGTGGGTCTCTCTCCTCGTATCAAATGCCCCCATCCCGTTTCTTTTGCAGATGCTCCCTCCACAGAAAAGACTTTTAAGCCGTGCGATATGGACTCGAAGTCCTTCAGGCGACTGGCCTTTGCTAGGGGAGGGGATGCCCCCCCCCCCATTTTACATGCGTCCTTCGCAGTCGTCTGGAAGGCACGCACGAACGTGTGAGAAGCAGATAAAGGGCGGCCTCCGGAGGCGGGCATGGATCAGACGATCGCCCCTCCCGCAGCCCCCCATCTCCTCTGCCTCGTGGCGTCCTCTGTATTTTAAAGGTCAACTCGGTTGCAGATGCTTTAAAAATGACCCCGTTTTCCCTGATTTCTGCGGGAACTGGTGCAGTTGAGTAAGGGATGGGTGCCCTCCCCATTTATTTTTTGCACTGCATTCCAAAGGCGTTTCTATGAAAAGAACTGGCGGGGGGCGGCTTAGTTTTTTCCTCCTTCACCGGACGGGAGAGGACGCTTGGGTCAGTGGTTAGAGGCGCCCGCCTAGGTACTCATCTTTTGCTCTGATCGCCTTCTTTCCCCGCGCAGGATGGACAGACTTCTCTTCCCCCTCCCCCCACTCGGGATGGGAGGCTGGAAGGCTTTGGGGCCTGCGCTGGCCCGAGCTTGCGTGGGATGGGGGCTGTCCAGGCAACCATCTTAGAGGTGGCGGGCGGGGGGACTTGTTGCATCACGAGCCCGGTTGAATGGAGGCTTGACTGGAGCAGCTGCCAATCATGGGGTGCGTGGTGGGGAGAAGCGGTATTGCACGTAGCATGCGCTCTGCAGAAAGGCGGGACAACAAAAGACGCTCCCGGCGGGGAGGGCGAGTTGGATTTGCAGGAGCGAGGTTGCGTGCTGCGCTTCCTTGGAGAAGTGCTTGAATTGCTCTGCCGAGATTGCAGGGCGGGGAGGGGGCCAGAGAGGAAGTCCCCCCCCCCCCCGGGCAAGCTCCCGAGGTGTCTCGCAAGACGAGGAGGGGAAGCGCCGCGTGGCTCAGGCAGTCCGGAGAGAGGCGCGCGTTCCCGGGCTGTGCTTAGCGGAATTGGGCAAGAATGACACGGGCGTCCTTCCTGTTCACACCCAAGCCGCACCACATCCTGCTCGACTTGCCCAAGCCGGCGATGCGAGGCACGCACCCGGGCCGCCCCGCCGCTCTGGCCCGCAGAAGAGACGGCGCTTCCCATCAGCGAGGCGTTTTCCCGTCTAATTCTGGTTTTACTCTAGGAGTAGGCATAGGGGCCCCCATTGCGATCCCCAAGTGAGGAGCAGCAGGCTTTCCAAGAGCCGGCCCTGGCATCTGCTCTGGACTAACACATGAAAAGGCGTCCTAAAGGCTAGACCCACGTGGAACGTTATGGCCATGGCGCTGGATGCAGCGGTGGCAATCTGGGCCACACCACTTTAAGCTGTAGGGGGCGCCATCCTTTGAAACCCCCCTACCCCTTGTTTACCAGAAAATAAATTTACTCATAGGGGCAGTTTTGTACATCTTTATGATATTGCTCGTTTGCTCCATGCTGGAGTTGTTAACTTGGGGCAAATGTTTAAAAAGTGATCCCCTTCTTGTATGTGGTACAGCCCAGAATCCCTCCCCACAAGTAATATGACATCTTGCACTGCTTAAACCAAGCTTTATCAAAGGTAGGCCCTAGAGTGGATTATACCACTGCAGAGGGGGTGTCATTTGCTGGATGGGGGAAACACACAGAAATTAAGCTTGCCTTTGTTCTGTGATTAATTAGAACTACCTGATCTGTGAACTGGGAAAGGGGTTGGAATTGCATTGAGAAGTGAGTTCAGACATTCATGGTTGAGCAGGTTTTGGTTGAGCAGGTTTTGGTTGAGCAGGTTTGGTGGGGCAAATTTCATGTGTGTAAGGAGAATCTCAGATCAAACACCAGTGCTCACTGAGATTTGTGTTGGGTTTTTTTTATAGAAATGTTATTAGGATTTTAAAACTAAAACTACAAGCAACAATCATCACACACACCGGATTTACTGGATCAGCCCCCTACTACATATCTTTTAACATTCTATGATCATACTAGAATCCATTTATAATAACTTGAAAGCATCGTTGGATCAAAACCAGGTCCCGTTTCTCCAGCCAATAAAATAATAATAATGATAATAATCCTAATTTGATAGAAGTCACTATCTTCCTCTTCTTCATCCATGAAATCAGTCTCATTATTTCCTACCAAGTCCTGTTTCTCTTAAGCAATGTCAAAGGGAAGCATCTCCAAATTAAATGAAATTGAAATATTCGCTTTCTCCTTCAATGGTAAGTTTGATCTAAACATTCCTGGACAGTTCAAAATCTTTTCTATTTTCTAATAGTAAATAACTTCCTCACTACCACAATTACACATAAACATCAAAAATATCCATTTAACATCTCTACAATTGTCTTGACTACTCTACTTGGTGATGAGTAATAATAATATCTTCTAGAACATTTTTCTTTAAGCTAAATTACTAGTGTTTCATCTCACTTAAACACTGTGGAATCAAATATGGTGAGCTCCTTATAAAAGCCAGGTGTTTACAGTCTAACATAGATCATCAACCACAAAAACTTATTAGAAATACAGTCAATACAGAAATACCTTTTAAACAGGATTTCATTAAGCTAAATTGCTACTATTTCACTAGCAATAATAGCTTAGCCTTTCTACATCTCATGTAAGCATATCAAGGTATATAATTCACTTTTTTTTTTTTTTTGGAATAGAAAGAAAGAAATTTCCCTTCCCTTTGCACTCCTGCCAAGTTTACTTTTTCTTTACCCCTCTACCAGACCTTTCTGTTTTTTTCCCATTAAGCCACCGTAATGTCTGTAATGGAGTCTTCAGTTGCAGCCACATAAACATAACCTCTTTTAAGTTGTCAGCTAAATTGTCCTCTAAGATGACACGCAGACCCCATGAAAGTTTGCTTCATAATGTCTGTGTCTTGAGTTGTGGCCAAGCTGTCTTATCCTCTTCCATCATAGCACACAGAACAGTTGCACTTATTTTCTTTCCAGTTTCAGATTTTCCTTCTGCTTGTTGGATATTTTGCATATTCTGTTCAGGTGCGAGTTGCTTATCTAAAGCCTGATCAATAGAAGTGCTTAATTTATCAAAGCCACTTTTTTGTTCAGTTGAAAAACAATCAAATCGCTCTAGAACAAAGCCTGTATTTTGAAAAATGCCTTCCAAATTTCTTCCATAGTAGCAAGGCTTGGCAGGTGTCCAAAGATCCCCAGAACAAAGAGAAAAATGATTGCCAATTCTTGGCAGAAGTCCAACACAGATGTATAAAAGAAAGATCCTCTATTACTCAATTCCACAACACAATTATTCGCCCTTGGAGAGATAAGAAAATCTTTTCCTTACTTACAAAAAGTTCTGTCTTTCTCTCCGTTATGCAATTCACCGCTTTTCAACTCCGTGGGGGGGAAGGTTTCATTTCCCCCCTCATCCAAAGGGCTTTTTAATTAGCAAAAAATACAGCTTATTCCACAGGTATCATTGCAGAGAAAAGAAACAAAAATACATTCCAATAGATCCGGTGTGTTCACAGAAGCTAAAACAAAACTAAAAAAAGGTAGCATGTGGAGAATTTGTAGAGGGCAGCACTCCCTCTGGTAATACCCAGCTGAGAAAACTTGATTTCCTCCCACTCAATGTGGAATTGCCAGTTCCACATCATCTGGGGGATTTGCCAAGCAATCTTATCACTGAGATGTGCATTCCCTGGCATCCTGCTGGGGCAAAGTGCTTTTCCAAGGAGGAGGTGCTGAGATCCCCCTGAGAGTCCACATCACATTGCTTGCATGTGGGAATCTACCTGTGGTCCTCACATCTCACCACAGATTGGTTGCTGCCTTGTAGGGAAGCAGGTTATCACATCCATCACTGCTTTATCAGCTTTCCTTGACAGCTGTCTTCAAGATGTACTCGGTCTCCAAGGCCCACCATTCCAAAGACACTGCTTGGGAGTGATGGGAATTGTAGTCTAGCACATCTAGAGGAGGTTAGGCTTATTTGTGCTTACTGTCAACAGGTTTTGGAACCATTTCTAGTGCTCTCTAGCAGGCATGAAGCAGGTGATCCACGGAGCTGCGGTTGCTCTGAATAGCATCATGGGGATTAAAGAATGGGAGCTGCCTTTTACTGGGCACAAGCCCTTGGTCCAGAATCACCAACTCCGACTGGCAGTTGCTGCCATGGTCTCAGGCCTTACTTTTTCCTAGCTCTACCTGGAGGTGCCAGGAATGAGTTGGGACCTTCTTCCTACAGAGCTCTGTCGCTGAGCCCTAGCTCTTCCCAGGGAACGGCTTCGGACCTCAAAGAGCGGTTGGATCACTTGAGGCCGATCGGCAGTGAGTTGACTTTGACTGTCCCCCAATCCTTGCATTCTTGTTTTGTCTGTTACTGTAGACTGTAAGCCTTTTTTGGGGCAGGGAGCATGTCCGTTCTGTGTTGCCAGACTGCCATTGCTGCTCTAAAGCAGTAGAAGGTTCACTATGAGCGACTTCACGTGCATTATTTTTTACAACTGCTCGGGGCCCCTGGACAGTGACAGTAGCAGCAGATGGCCACGTTATCGGAGCATTGAAGAAAAGGTAAGCTGGCACGCATCGCATAAGGACTCAAGAAGCGCCCGGGATCCGAGCAAGAGGCCACCTAAGCCTTCCTTCTGATCTCCAGTTGCCCATGGGAGACCTCAAGTAGACCAAGGGTCCGTCTCTTGATAGCAGCCAACCAGCTGCCCGTGGAATTGCACAATCAGTGCATGAGTGTGACAGCTGCCTCCCACCCATGTCCCCCAGAAAATGGTCACATGCTTCTTTTAAGGGAGGGTCATGCTTAAGTTCCACAAGGAACATTTTCACTAGACTGTGTACACCCAGCTGAATCAACAAATCCCTGGAAGCCAGTAAAAGCAATACAGGTAGAAGGTCAGTGGCCAGGTAGGGCCCAGGTGCAGCGTGTGGGATAGTCTGCTTCCTTGGCAGACCTTGCAGTTGCACGCTTGCTGTGGCGAATTCTTGTCTCTTAAGGAAAGCATTTTGTTCCGCCAGTGAGGAAATAGCTAATCTCAAGAGGCAGAGAAGTAGTGAATTATTACTATTGTATACTGATTACTTTAATCGTAATCATTAAAAAAAGAACCACAGACATTTAAACAGACAACCATGTGCATATTTAGGTGGAAAAAGTCTTTTCTTTCCCAGAATGCCCCAGTCATAGCACTGGCTGGGGCATGCTGGGAATTGCAGGCCTTTTTTTTCCATCAAAGCAAGCACAAGGTTGTACCCTTATTAGATATTTGGACAGTACAGAAATTGACCTTTAGGAGAGAGAGAATGGAACAGATGAGGTTAGAAGAAAGCCTAGATAAATCTGGTCTTGTGAATATTCTTGAAATTATTTCCTTAAGCACCAACAGGTGTTTGAAGAAAGACTGAATAACCTTGACTTAGGCTAAATGCGTACTAGCCAGAGCGTTAAAAGGATGGACAGTTGAAATGCTTCTGGCATTTTGAGGAGACTGCATATATTTTGTTCTTTTTTAAAAAAGGGAGAGAGATACATCTGTTTTGATCTCTTCGAAACTAGCAGAGGAGTGTCTTGAGATTGTCATGTGTGTGCTTAGGTCACAATCCACTGGGAATGTTTCCAGCTTTGGCTAGCAAGGGCATACCGGCAGCGGGGACAAAGCTTCCAAGTCTGAAGTATGTTTTCTCTGGGCATGGGCCCAGAGGCACCTTTGCGGGTGTGTGCATGCTATTTAAGGGACACTCATGTTCTGCCTACATTTTGTCCTTGGAGTTTTACACAGATATACTGAGAGTGAGCTGCAGGGCTTGTGCACACGATCTTGCAATAGGAAGAAGTGTTCCGAGAAACTGAGTTTTCCTACCACGTGAATGCCTGGGATTTTCTATGCTGCCTGGTTTTAATGTGGGGGTCAATATATGCCAGCTAACTTGTGCCAGACCAGGACTGGGCAGCGAGAGCTTCAAATGCTCACTCAGCTGTGAAGCTCTGGTTGACCCGGTGCAGAACTTATCTCTCAGCCTACCTCACAGGGTTGTTGTGAGGATGAAATGGAGTTGGGGAGAACTGCATATACATTGCCTGATGTTCCTTGGAGGTACATTGGAATCAAAAGACAATAAAAATTAAAGTATTTTGTCTGTCCCTTTCCACCAACATAAGTCTGAAGAAAATATCTCATGCTTTTTCCCAGCAGATGTACAGGTTTTAACTTTGATTTTGCAGGGTACGGGTATTGAAAAACTGCAGGTCAGTCACAGGAGTGGGAAACTGAAAACAAAAATGTCTTTCAGGGAGTTGTGGAAAATTTGCGGGGGGGGGGGGACTCACATTCTCCCTGTAGATTTCTAAGCATTTCCCCAAGCTTTAATTTCTGTAGCCACAGAGAATGTCTGGTGATACTAGTGAGCATGGACTGGTATGTAGACAGAACATTTAAGAGCATCTTAAAGATTTGTTACTGGGGCCCAGTCCCCTGCATTTATCTCTCTCAACCTTCCAGAGATAAAGCATTCCCATTGTCAAACTGAAGCAAGATTTTCCTGCTTTGGGTACCTGTTTGCATTTCTGTGCTTTGAAGAGAGTATGGCCTGGTGATCAAATATGGGAGGAAGCACAACGGCTTGGGTGCTTTCCCATTCTCCCTCCAGGTAGATCCTAGGAGAGGAAAAAGCTGCTTACTGCATCTGTGCTTGGTAACTTGCCACTCAAAGACTCATTGCTGGATGTGTGAAAGTATCGTATCTGAGATGATCACCAAGGCTCCATTGGGGGTGTTTTGATCTGCTAGGACTGTTTGACCTTTGCTTGATGCTCCATGCTGTGTAGTTCTGGAGAAGCTCTGAGAAATTTGTGGATGAGGCTTAGGGCTGCTTTCAGGTGCATCGAGGCTGCAAACCTCTGCTTCCTTATGTTGCAGGAGGTCCCGTGCAAAGCAGTGGGATTTTGTTCTGAGCAGGGCTGGCGAAAGTGCAGTTGTGTGCACATTTGCCTGAAAATCAGCTCTAGAACTGACTGGTCCAGGCTGCTGCCCTCCAGATGTTTTGGACTTCAGATCCCATCAGCCCCAGCCAGCATGCTAATGATTAGAATGCTGGGGGCTGTTATCTGGAGGGTACAGGGTTGGAGAAGGCTGCTGCAGAGGGCCTATTACATAAGAGTCATCTCTACACGTCGGGCTAAATGGCATAAATGCAAGGTCTCTGCCCCCAGAGACATACAATTGAATTCCGAAGTAAGAGGGCAACATGGCAAACAATACCGCAAGAGACGGGTGACATGCATTCCGTTTGCCTCTTGGTATAAAACACCCACATGAACTGCTAGTTGTCCGGGACCAGTATGCAACTCGTATTAATATCTGAGTTGGTGATTATCAATCAGGGCTCTGTAAGAAGTGTTTGGAGATTGTCTGTTGCCATCTTGAAGACTGACTTTTATGCCTAGCTCAGCAAATGCGATAGCTTAGGGCTGAAGTAGGTGTGTTAGCAATGGTGGGGGTGCTGGGGGCAGGGGGTTCGTGACAAATCAGGGCCCCAGCAGGGGGCAGGACCCTTTGCCCCATCCCACTGCAGGTTGAGTCCCTTTTGCCTACGATTTGCGGTGGAAGAAAAGCTTCCAATCACCCTGCCTGGACTTCTCTTTCCATGAATGGTACCTACTGTTAGTCTAGCTTAAGACTCATGGATTTCAGTGGTTGCATTCCAAATAGGACTAACATTAGCTGTGGCTTGAGGTCGACTTCCTGGTTCCAAATCGAGACTGCAACGGGGGCTAGTGGTTAAAGCTTCTGTTGGCATTCTTTGTCTTCTGACATTTAGGACCCCTACGTTATGGAACAGGCTTCCGGGGGGTGGTTGAAGCCCCATCGGTGAAGGTGTTCAAGGACAGGCTGGACGTGCACATGATAGGCATGTCATGAGCAGAGCTGTCTGGAGCAGGAGTCAGACTAGATGGCCCAGGAGACCCCTTCTGACTCACTCTGTTTCTGTGTTCCTGTGTCTGGCAACCGCCAGCCACCAGTTGACTAGTGGAAGAGCGAGAGAATGAATATTTTCCAAACTGAAGTCCAGTCTAATTAAAATTGCAACAGACGGCTTGAGACCTTCAGTGTCCAATGTCAGGCGCTCCGCAGCTGCTTGTGTGTGCGCGCCTGCCGGCGCATGATGTCGCAAGGCTGCGGCGATTTGTTATAATAGCTTTCGGTGGCGGTGCCAACGGACGGCCACTCCTTAACCCCTTTGAAACAGGATCTTCACTAGGTCAGAAGGGAGTCAGTCTGGCACGGTGGTCAGAGCAGTGCGGACAGTATCTTGCCCTCCCCAGGGTTAACCTTCAAGAAGTTGAGGAGCACCTGGCTTTTCTGGATTTTAGGCAGACGCTTCTCCCCTGCCGCCTTGCAGTGACTTCCAGCAGCCAATAGAAGACTGCACTGTAGATCGCTTGTCCTGCCCTGAGAAAAAGATCCTGGGTTAGACCCCGAGACAGCGGCACACGGGAAGGAATAATCAAGCTGGAGTGCTCTCTTCCCTGCTTGGCGCCAGACCTAGTCTATTTACACTGGGACTTAGATCTGGGAGACAAACAAAGCAAAACAAAAGCACAGGTTCTCAGAAGAGTGCTGTTTGCACTCAAAATAATAGAAGCGGTGCTGATGTGATTAAAAATGGGCACTTGCATGAGAACCTGTTTTTCCTTGGTTTGTAGGAACTTCCAGAACTCGGTAGTTGTACTCTCATCTTCCTCCATTCTAGCCTCTTGGAGGCCCGGTCAGTTTTGCATATTGGGTGGCAGTGGATTGCACTTCCCCCCAAACTGGGGTAGAGGGCTGGGCTGGACTGGGAGACACTGGTTCCAACTGGTTCTCCAGGAAGCTCCGTTGGCCAGTCAATAATCTAAGAAACAGGCTTGTTAAGGCTTGTGGTCTGGTGCTCACCTCAGGTGCCCTGGAAGGGCAAGCATTCGTAATGTATTGCTGTACCTTTTCCTGCCAGGGAAGGAAGAAGCGCTTGGAGGATTTTCTGCCTTAGGTGCCAAGATAACTTGAGTGACTTTGGGTACTTCCTGTCTTGACTCAGCGGGGTGGAACTCGCTGTTCGTGGCTCAGCCTCAGTTGTGAAATACCATACCTTGGGCCAATATAATAAAGGAAAAAAGTAAAGTATGAAGCGGGTTGAAGATGCACATGTGTTGTTTTTAGGTCTTTAGAGGAAAGCTGAGCCAAAATGAAAGAAGTGGGAGAGGGGGGTGAAATGCGAAGGAAGAGAGGAGGTCCAGTGATGTGCACAAACAAAAGATTGTCAAGAAATGAGTGATGCTCACTGCAGGTCTGAAGGGCAAATGCAGAGGGGTCAAGTGCTTGACTGTGATAGACGCCGGACCAGCGAAAGCTGCCGTTGTGTTTTCGCGGTTTCTGGTTGAGCTCTTTCCATTTGCTTGTGAGCTGGGTGCTTTCAGTGCTCTAGGCAAGAGGGTCTGTTCTGAAATGGACAGTTCTGTCCGGTTTTGCTTGGGAAGACGCTTCAGCCTGGCAGTGTTGTGATCCGGCCTTTCTCTTTCCCGCAGAGAACCATGGCTTCCCTCAAGGACAAGCTGATCACCCCCATTGCACAGCCAGCGACCAAGCCGAACAGCAAGGTCACCGTCGTAGGGGTTGGTCAAGTTGGGATGGCCTGTGCCATCAGCATCCTGGAAAGGGTAAGCGGCTGCGGGGGCCTGGGTGGGGTGAGGGGGTAAAGAGCCGGACTTGAGCACAGTGCAAGCGTGAACATGCGCACGACAGAGGATTGCCCCTTTGCACATTGATGGGGAAGTGATGCGGTGGCATTTGGCCAGAAGGCAACCTTTGGGCCAGCTTGCCTTCAACCTGAGCTGTTGGACTGCAGCTCTCATTGTGCTGGCTGGGGATGATGGGAATTACAGCCTGACATGTCTAGAGGGAACTCGGTGAGGAAAGCTGCTGGCATGGCCCCAAGAAAATGAAAATACAAAGCTTTCATGGTGTCTTTAAACTGGAACAGCCCAGGTTTTCATGGACTGAATCTTTAACCTGTTCTGTATTTTATCATGATTGCTTTGACATCTCCAAGCCAGAATATGGAACAATAAATAATGTCTTGGCCCACAGTTCCCACCACACCTCACCATTGGCTACACTAGCCAGGGCTGATGGGAGCTGTAGGGCAGAAGATCCAGGGGCTCATCCCTGGATCAGGTACATGGCGTATCATGTGCAGTTGATGCTGAGCTGAGTGGGGATCGCACCGTACGGACAGGCCCCTCTCTCGCCATTTGGCCAGTGTGGGAAGGACCCTGTATGCATTCAGTTTGTACAGTTCCCATGCCAATGGCCATGCCAGCTGGGAATGATGGGAGTTGCCACCCAAAACTTCTGCAGGGCTCCAGCTTGAAGAAATCTGAATTGAATTGTAATCTGGTCTTGGAAGCCTTAGAATACATGAGGTTCTGTCTTTCACATTTCTGTTCAAAAATCAAAAGTACCATAGTTGAGCACAGCACCCATTCACAACAGCGGTAGTTGGTTGCACATTGACAAAGCTCAGAAACCACGGACATGGAGGGCAACGCCTGAGTTTAGTTACACCCTAAACAAACAGAATTGAACTGGCGTGTGCTTCCCTTGTTCAGGTGTCCCCCTAGAAGTTAGATGCAGCCTTGCTTTCTCTCTGTGATATAACGGGGCATCACAGTTTTATGGAACCAGGCTGAGCACCTCAAGGCCAAGATTAAAAATAATCTGAGCTTTCCATGTGTTCACATCCCTGTGTAGTCAAGCCTTATGTCTTTTCTTCACTATCAGGGTCTGTGCGATGAACTTGCTCTGGTTGATGTCCTGGAAGACAAACTGAAGGGAGAAATGATGGACTTGCAGCATGGAAGCTTATTTCTTAAGACACATAAAATCGTAGCAGACAAAGGTAAGGTTTAGAATGTGTCTTGCCTTCGCCCGAGAAGGGACCTGCATTATTCATCACATTGCATTGGAAAATAAATAGAAAGAGAAGAATGAATGTCACCTTCCCAGTATCCTTTAGGATGGAAGGCAGCTTTTTACTGTATGAGTTCCCTGGTCGCCATAGGCGACTAGAAAGTTAAAGCAGGTGAGTCGGGGGCTGGCAAAGAAGAGCAATGTTTGCTCCAGCCTCTCCATCCATCCGTCCATCAAAAGCTTTTCCAACCTGTCCACCACTAGCATCTTGGGACGGCCTACAATAAAACGAGTAGAATAAGACAAAACACCACAGAATCTGACAATTGAAATACTAAAGCCCCAGTTAAAATCAATTAAACATTAAAATGACGGGAAAATGAAAACATTTTCGCCTGATGCCAAAACGAATATAACATCGGTGCCAGGCAAACCTCTAATTAGTTTCTTTGCTAGCTATAAATTTCTCTAGGCTTATTCACAAGGCTTGTAAATTGCGACATACGTGGTCGAACTTGGCTACTAGGACTTTCTCTGCATGCAGTGCTTCAATTTCCTGTCCAATGGTTCCACTTTCTAACGAGCCTGGGGTGAGAGGGGGAAAGGGGGAAGGCCCCCTTGCGGACATGATTCATTCCATATCTGTCGTTCGCTTCCTCCGTGGAATTCAGGGGAGGTACATGGTTCTCAGTGCTTTCCCTCTGTCGTCATGACACACTTTGAGGTAGGATAGACTGAGGGAGAGAGGAGATGAGCCACTGGGGATTCTGGCTGCCTGGGATCAGAACTAAGTGGCAATGGCCACCAACTTGGACGCATTTCCAAAGAGAGAGGGAAATCTCTTGGAGGATGAAGCTGTGCAAGGTTTCTAGCCCTGATGGCCATATGCTGCTTCCGGTACCAAAGGCTACATGTGCTGGGGAACATGGGCAGGAGGGTTCGTGTCTAGTTTTTGGGGCAGCTAGTTAGGCACAATGTGGTCAGAATGCTGGACTAGATGGACCTTGGGTCTGAGCTAGCGGGTCCTGCCCCACTCTGGCTGAGCACCCGAACCACCTAGCCCTTCCGTCTTTCCATGGTCCCTCTGACCCTTGCTGTGCCTGCAGATTACTCGGTCACCGCCAACTCCAAGGTTGTCGTCGTCACTGCCGGCGTGCGCCAGCAGGAGGGGGAGAGCCGTCTGGACCTCGTGCAGCGCAACGTGAATGTCTTCAAGTTCATCATCCCACAGGTTGTGAAGTACAGCCCCGACTGCATCATCCTGGTTGTTTCCAACCCAGGTACTTAATCTTGGAAATCCACACATCCTGGATAAACAGGGTGGAGTTTCTGTTCGTTTATTTTTATTTGCCAGGTTAATAGGCTGCCTCAGCTTCCCCCCTTGTGCCAGCCTCCAGATAGGTTGGACTGCAATGCCCATAATTCCCGGCCAGCACTGCTGTTGGTCGCTCTGCCTGGGAGTTGAAGTGCGCCCTCACTCTAGTGCTCTGGATGGGACGAGGCTGAATTGGCTACAGAACTGAATGTGTGTTTTCAGGAGGGGCCAGTCAGGATGAAGAAGCAGGGCACATCCTGGAGTGGTCCATGGGGCACCCTCTAGAGGTAGCAAGTGGGGCCACCCCTGATCTCGGGCCTGGATGCTGCAGCTGGACTGGGGCACCAGCATTTCAGTCCCAGTTTCTCCTCTGTAAGAAGTGAATGATGACTTCCTTACAGAGCTGTTCTCGGGGCAAAAGACTGTGGAGTGTGTCTCAAGGAGAGCTTGCATTCCACAGCAGCTTGTGTTTAATTGGAAGTAAAACTTGCTAGGTTCAGTGCTGAACACTTGCAAAGGTTGCAGTGCCAAAACTGCAGCGTAATAAGACTCATTCCGTGTTCTGTTGTCTTCTGAGCGGCTTGGTGGTTTTGATGCGTTCTCGGTTGGGCCAGAAGGTGGAGCCTGCACTAGGACTGGGGCCACGTCGTGGGCAAAATAGTCCAGGCTCCAGAGTGCTTTTAAACCCGGCTTAATAAACAGCCACCACTGCACCTCTGACCGCCATTCAGAGATGAGGCCACGGAAAGCTCTCTGGGGTAACAGCCACCATTGCAACAGCTGCTTTGGGTAGTGAATTGTCTTCTGTTGAATTTTGGGTGTACACCAGTGGTGAGCACCCTGCAGCCAGGGGGACAGGTGTGCCCCTCGGATCTCTTTCGCAGTCCACCGAAATTCAGCTGCAAGCAAGCTGGCCTTTTGCTTTTGAAAGGAGTCCAACTTTCCCATCTCCAAATTTGGGCACCAGATTCCTGGATGGGAACAAAGATGTTTCAAGGGGAGTAGTGTAACCTCTCAGCTTCTGGAAGTCGTCCTGCCCTGTATACATCTGTATGCAAACAGGGAGGCCCAGTTGGTGGCCGTGTGCTAAAAATGGTCCTGAAAATAGCAGTGCCTGTGCAGGACACAGATACAGAGCATCAGAAGTGCAGATTCTCACAACAGCCTTTTAGCTGGTGACCGGCCCAGTCCAAGCCTTGAGCACGCCAGCCTGCAGCCCGTCTCTCTTCCCCTTCCCAGTGGATATCCTGACCTACGTGACGTGGAAACTGAGCGGCCTTCCCAAGCACCGTGTGATTGGCAGCGGCTGCAACCTGGATTCAGCCCGCTTTCGCTTCCTGATGGCAGAGAAGTTGGGCATCCACCCCTCCAGCTGTCACGGTTGGATCTTGGGAGAACATGGCGATTCCAGTGGTAAGTGGCATTGTGGTTCATAACCAGTGTGTTTTTTGTAAAAAAAAAAAGTGCCTGAACTCATGTCTTGGAGACACACTTTTACACTAAAGATGATTTTCAATTCACCAGCTTTTTTTGAAATAAAGAACTTATTTATGTTTTGCACGTAGCCAGTCACTCTACACACACATAAACATAATGGCCGCCGCCGGCAGTAAGCACTCAGCACGTGACCACACGACTGATCCCAAGCCGAGCAGCATCCCAAGCTGAGCAGCGCCCTCACTATCAGCGTGGACACACAAGCAGCCCGCAGGCGATTCAAAATCACTTCGTAAAAACACCATTCCGGTGTGTTCTATGACAAAAAAGCCCTGCTCATAACCATCCTTCAGCGCAAAACCTCCTGGACTAGCAGTGTTGATTCCCGCGGCATCAGGGTAAAACGACAAGTTATGCAGAGTATATTTTCTTGGTTTTCATAGGAGTTTGCATGGCTGCAATTAAGACTGGAACAAGCACATTCCTGCTGGAGAGGAATAATCCTCTTCCAGTTTTTTCCTAGAGAACTCAACCCACTATCTCCCCTCGGTCTTTCTTTCTTCTCGAGGCTAAACATGCCCAGTTCTTTCAGTCTCTCCTCACAGAGCTTTGTCTCCAGTCCCTGGATCATCCTTCCTGCCCTCCTCTGAACCCTTTCCAGCCTGTCTGCATCTTTCTTCAACTGTGGTGCCCAGAGCTGGACCCAGGACTCCAGATGAGGCCTAACCAGTGCTGCTTAAAGGGGACAAATTCTTCAAGCGATTTGGAAGTGGTTCTTTTTATGCTGCCCATCATAGCATTTGCCCTTTTTGCAGCTGCATCACCTCGTTGACTCATTCTCAACTACCACTAATTCAAATATAGATGCTTGTTTTCTTTTTGCTCTCTGCAGGGTGGATTTAAGGGGGAAAACAGGCAGAGGAAACATTTGACCTTAGTCTTTTGGAGTTTGGTGGTCCTGATTGAAATTGGGGTGGCACACACTCGCATGAGAGTTAAAACAACCAGAGGAACAAACCTCGAGGAAGAGTAAACAGCTCCACTGTGTGATTAACATAGGGCGACTGACTCTGTGGCAGATGCTTTCCCCAGCCCTGCTAAGTGTAAAATGCCAGCAATTGAACCTGGGCATTTCTGGATGAATAGCAGGTGCTCTGTTTATGTTTATTTTTTAGAAAAGGACTGTAGCTCAGTTTTTCCCTCTTGCACCTCTGCTTGGAGAGGCAGTGATAGGAAAGACCCCCGCTACCTGCTGATTTCCGACCCAGCTCGATGGACAAATAATCTGGCCCAGCATAAGAGAAATGCCGATGTTTGTTTCTTGAAAGCACTCCCATCCTGTCTTTCCGTTTCAAATCCAGAGGCCCAAAGTAGTTAACAGCAATAAACAATTTGGAAAAATCCCACCAGAAAAGCAAATAATGACACACACCGGAGTAGCAGATATAATCAGCTTTACTGCGGCGGCCGTTTCCATGCCTGCATCGTTCGTGGCTGCTTTCCAAGCAGTGATCGCTATCTGGACTCCGTCTGTCCAGGTTCATGTCTCAGCCTGAGCACCAGATTCAGTTTTAGTCCCAAGTTAAGACTTTTTATTTAATACCTGTTTTTAGATTACGACCCTTGGCCTAGCTGCTGGTTTATTGTTTCATTGGCGGTTGTTTCATTGGTGATATCGTGTTTATTTCCTCCTGTTGCAGTTACATGGTTGTATTTCTTTTGTAGTTTTATTCTATTCTGTATTATGGTTTTAGTTGCTATCATTATTTATTTGTAGCTGTATTTTTACGATGGGGCTGTGAGCCTCCCAGAGCGCTTCTGCCGTTAGGGTGGCCTATAAATGCAGTAAATAAGTGGATAAAGCCAGCCAGCCACAGTGGTGGTCTGGCTGGCTCTCCCTGAGTGGAAGTGAGCGGCTCCGGTGTGGCTCACGGGCTCCCTTTCGTCTCGCTTCCAGTGGCTGTTTGGAGCGGCGTCAACGTGGCCGGTGTTTCCCTCCAGGAGCTCAACCCTGCGATGGGGACGGATAATGACCCCGAGGGCTGGAAGCAAGTCCACAAGCAGGTGGTTGACAGGTACGAACCTTTGCAAACCCACACAGGGCCTGTGTCTGGAGAAGCCTTCCGAAAACGACTCCCCACCCTCCCCAGACGGCTCTGATTCCTAAAGGTGCATTTCTTAGGGATGCTGCAAGACAGTGTCAGCTTGTATGATCGCAGGAAAACCTGGCACACAAATCTGGGGATATGGGAAGAAGAGAGCTCCATTCCCCACAGCTCCCAGTTGGCATGGCCGTTGTCCATGCTGAACTGGAATTACGGCAGCTGCATCCCACGTCTGGGAGACACCAGGCCCAACCACTTCTGGGCAGCTTCTGTGGTCTTCGAATTGCATCTTGAGACCCAAACGGCTGAGCCCCATTTCTGAAAATAGACAGGCCGGCTCTCGGGGAAAAGCACGCAGCTGCTTGGATAGGCAGGGAGAAGAACTGCCTTCTGGGAAATCCTGTGCATTGAAGAATGCTGCTTGGAACTGTTCCGGGACAGCTGGATTGCCAATGGGGTATTCTCTGTGTTGGCGGTGACTTGGGAAGACGGGTTCTTGACTCTTGTTGTGCCACTTCATGGGCTGGGGTCACGTATTCCTCAGGCGAGGGCCGACTCCGTAACCCATTCAAAGCAGCATTTGCTTGACAGCATCCAAAGCCCAAATGGGTGTGACGCCTCCGTTCCCACCTTCCGCAAGGATAAGGTTTTGTGGGAATGAGCAGCTAACTTGGCATGCCCCCGGGGAGACAGAGTGCTTTTGGTAGCATCCCTTGCCTTTCCTCTCCCCTCTGTGACCACGTTGCCCATTTCTCCATCCCGGTGCTCTTGCTTCCCTCCGCTCCCACTCACTGCCGCACTGGGCTTGTTGTCGTGTTTTCGACAGTGCCTATGAAGTGATCAAGCTGAAGGGCTACACCAACTGGGCCATCGGTCTGAGTGTGGCCGACCTCCTGGAGACCATCCTGAAGAACCTTTGCCGAGTGCATCCAGTGTCCACCATGGTAAAGGTAAGGGCCGTTGCCGTCTCACCTGCGTTTTCAGCTCCTTCCCTTCCTTCGCTGCCTTGATTTCCAAGGGGAAATGCAGCAGCGAAGATGGATGCTGGTTTCTTTTTCCAAAGCTGGGTGTTGTTGTGTGCAGTAAATTGAAAGGGTGCCAGTTAGGTTCTGCTTGCCATAAGACCTGCATGGAAAGAAAGCTTTTCTGGAAAGAAAGCTTTTCCAATTTCAGAATTAAAAAGGAGCAAAATGGCCGATATCCTAATTTAACTGCAGGCGGCATCCTATCCCCCATGCCTTACACACCCATCAACCTGAACTCAGAGGCTTTTGTGCATTCAGTATGTGTTGTGAAATGCAGCAACAGCAATCTCTGCAGCTCCTCCTGTGCTTCATTTCATCTAGACGGCTGTTTTCAGTTGTCCAAATGAAGCACAGAGGGAAAGAACTGCGTCTGGAAACAGCCTAAGCTGTCGCCCCGGCCTTCTGCCTTCCCTGCTTCCTTCCCTGGCACACTTTCTTTCCTCCTCTCGGGCCTATTTGCAACCTCGGAGAGGCAGCTGGCCAGTTGTGACTGTGGCTTCCATGTTCAGAGGCCTTTTTTGGGATTGCAGGACCCTGGAGCTGGGGCTCCGAATAATCCTAGGAACCCAAAGCCAACATGGGCTGCAGAATTGCACTCTTAAATTAATGGAAGGAAAGTTTGTTACGAAATCCATGTGGCTGCTTACCTGCAGGCCTGGCTCATTAGTGCAGGTGTTTTCTCTTTTTTCGGCTTCCCCCACCTGATTTTTCTGAATGTTGCAATGCCATCAAAAATGCGTACATTTGGGGAAAGTGTACCCAAAAATGCATACATCAGTGTATAGGGGGAAAAGCAGTATTGCTTACACAAATGCCTATATTAGAAGAAACTGCATAGAAGTATGTATTAGGAGAAAGGTAAAAAGTGGTTCTACTTCTGAGTTTTTTTTAAACAACGTGCTGTGGAAATAGCATGAAATGAAAGTCACATCCTTCTCTGTGGAATGTGACTCCATCTATCCTCTCCCTCTTGTTGCAGGGGATGTACGGCATCGAAAATGAGGTGTTCCTCAGCCTCCCGTGTGTGTTGGGATCTGTTGGCTTGACCAGCGTGATCAACCAGAAGTTGAAAGACAGGGAAGTGGCACAGCTGCAGAACAGCGCCACCACGTTGTGGAACGTCCAGAAGGACCTCCGGGACCTGTAGGCATCGGGGGGTGTTTCCTGTTTAGTCACGAGAAGAGAACCAGTGTTCTGAATCCACCCCACGCCTTTGCGTGCACCTGTCTAGCGTAACTCCGTAGCTGAGCTTTCGGTAGCCATCCCCAGTCGGGACAAGCTTTCATCCGCCGTGGCCAAGATGTGTGCTTAATGCAGACCTTCTGAACAAATAAAACCAGCTCTTTTGTGTGTGCTCAATGCTCGTTGTTGGTCTCCATCGTTGTTTTTCTGCCCCCAAGAGGAAGCAAACTAGAATCCTCCTAGTTGCAGCGAAGGGAGCTTCCACCTGTCTTCCTCTTGGAAGAAACCCCGGAAAGCTCACGAGGTTCTTTTCATTTCCACCTCACAACAACCACTGTGTGAGGTGGGCTAGGCTGACAGTTCGTATTTGGTCCACAGTCACCCAGTGAAGTCCATGGGCTACTGGATGTCCCAGGTCCCAATCCAACACTGGTACGCCACGCCAGCCTTCAGAAGACGACTCGCAAGTGGATACTTGTTTTCTCTGTGGGGCAGTATCCACCCATGTCCTTCCACAAACCCAAAACCGCACCAGTGAAGCTCCTAATATTTCCACTGCACAAGTAGTCCACTGTGATTGCAGAAGCAGTCATGTAACTGGTTGCACATCAGTTTACACAGGTGGAATGCACAATCATTTACAATGCTCATTAGGCTCTTGAGTTAGCACAACTCCACTGGCACGAGCTTAGCTTTAGCTGGTTTCTTCTACATGATTCAGATCCTCGTTTCCATGAGCCATCATTGGCCAATAGAATGACACAGTTCGCTACCACCCACCATTTTCATTCCAATATAAATTAAAATCATTTCCCCATGTTGAATTGGATTAAATTCTCAGCTGCTCCATTTCAGCGGTATCTAAAATTGTGAGTAGCTGCTGTTTGTTGTAGGAGACAAGCTCCTTGTTAGTGCAGGGACAACAGAATTTAAACTGCAAATAAAAGATTGCGGCTAAATCGTAAGAGCATTGTCGATAGCATCTCAAAGACAGGACACCTGAATATAGGCAGCCTCTAGAAGACGAGAACTCCAACATCAGAGTTGGTGGTCTGTACTTTATTGTAGCTGGTGTTTCTCTGAGGTTGTAGGACCAACCTCGGAGAAGCGGTAAAGAGCATGGAGGGAGGGGAGGAGACTGGATCTTCCCTGGTGGACCTTCCGCCTCCTTCCCTCTCAAGCAGCAGGGCTACATGGCTGAAACGGCCGTCTAGCTGGCATGCCGGACTGGAAGAGTCGGAAGGCGAAGATCACCACTGATCTGCATCCTGACGAGCACAAGGACGCTTGTCATCTGAATGGTTAAGATTAATCGAGCCTTGAAGAAACCCATTACCGGACTGTCCCCTAAGACTTAGGATCAAGATGGGGAAGCTGCCTTTCAGCCTGAGAGTGGAACTTGGCCTTCAGGCCTGAGCTGCCCCAGCCTGTGCAAAAGCAAGCAGCTTGGGTGGTATCGCAACCCCATCCTATTGCAGCAACTGAAATTAGTGTCATGGTCTATGTCAGTTGCATTTACCTGTTACTGTCTTGTTCCAGCATTGGAGGGGGCCACCACTGAGGAGGTCCTGTTCCTTGTTGCCAGATCCTGAACTTCTGCTGCACTTTCTGATGTGTTAGCAACTTGCTGTCCAGTGCCAAAGATGTGGATCCCCCATGAGATTTGACCTGTGTTGGCGTAAGGATGTTGTGATTTGCGTAGACTTGCCAACCACAAATTTGCCTTGATGGAGAAAGTTTGTCTTTCTCTGCTCACAGAAAAAAGAAGGGTGCCAAACAGTATATGCTTAGAAGCCATTCATTTACAGAAGGAAAAACCAAAATAACTTAAAGAAGCAGCCTTACCATGATCCATCTAGCCTACTGGCACAGGCTGGCAGCAACACTGCCTACCAACACTGACTGGCAGCAGGATTCCAGGCAGGAATTTTCCCAGCCCTACCTGGAGATGCCAGGGACCAAACCTGGAGCCTTTTGCATGCAAAGCTGGGGCTGTGCTGTACCCATGAGCCACGGACTTTCCCCACCAAAGAAAAACTAACCAGAAATTTGGTGTGGGGAGAGAAAGCAAAAGAAAATGAAAGGCAGCACCAGAGGCAGCACATTCCTAATATCCCATTTAAGAGAGAAGCAAAAAAGAATGGCCTGGAAAGCTCTGAAGACTTAATTTCTAAATTGCGCCTCGCTTTTCAATTCTTGTTCTGCAGAAGGAGCCTTCTTTTACAATGCTCAGAAAAAATGAACAGAACAACATGAAACCCGGCTTTGTTACAGTCCGGGATTTCTCTCTCTGCTGCTCAAGGGTGCTGGTCGCAAGGATCAGCATTATTACCAATTTTCCTTTGCACAGGTGTACGAATGTGCTTATTACCATCCAAGCTCCCCACTTCTGTACAGCAGGAAAGTTGTTGCTGTTCCCAGAAACTTTTTACAAAAAAAATCGAAAGGGAGGCTGGGGAGCGTATGCATATGGGATGTCGAAAGCTTCACGATGGTGGCTTCCTTATTTCTGCCAGAAACATTTTCTGCATTCTGTTGATGGCAGATTGCTCTCCAGAGTATCCATCGCTCCAGTCCAGGGAAGAAGATTGGTCTGCACCAGTCCTTTTGCACACGAGTGCTTTTCCCAGTCTGTGCCCCCCGCACTCTTCTGGGCATCACTGAACCAGCTGGATCCGGCACTTGCTATCAGTTGCGGCATCCATACTAAACCCAAGACACGTGATCTTGCAGAAGCCCCTGTTCATGATTCTCTGCACACAGCCACTTCTCACACTCCATTTCCTCTATTTCTGATGTTTGGGTAGTGAGTGTTGCATTTGTGTAGCCAAACTGGCATCATTTACACTAATGAAGGGCAGTGAAGGGCCACCAGGATGGTGGTCAGTTTGCAGGATAAGCCATGTGAAGAGAGGCTGAGGGAGCTGGGCCTCTTCAGCCTGGAGAGGAGGAGACTCAGGGGGCACCTGTTAGTGACATGCAGGTATGTGAGGGGTGCCACATGGAGGTGGGTCATGACCTTTTTTCCTCTGCATTGGAGGGCAGGACATGTTGCAATGGAGCAAAGCTCAGGGAGCCAAGTTCCATTTGGATGCCAGGAAGCACTTCCTGACAGTTGGGACCCCCATGGTATGGAATGGGCTACCACGGGGTGTCCCCATCAGTGAGAGTGTTCAAGGATAGGCTGGACATGCACATGGTGGGCATGTCGTGAACGGAGCCGGCTGGAGCCGAGGGTCAGACTAGATGGCTCAGGAGGCCCCTTCTGACTCACTCTGTTTCTGTTTCTTCTATGTTTCTAAGAGAGTTGAGGTAAACTCTTCTAAGTTTGCAGGAGGATGGGGGGGGGGGGGGGGGGGGAGAGACAGAGACAGAGAGAGAGAGATGTGTAGGAGTCAAAACAGCCCAAGGAGGACCAAGGATGCTGACTGACCACTGGTGTGTGTGTGTGTGTGTGTGTGTGTGTGTGTGTGTGTGTGTGTGAAGCCAAGTGTGAAGGGGAACAGAATGGAGTGGGATGCAGGAGAATGGCTGCGGCAAAGGAGCCATGCTGGCCCAAGCAAAGGCCAGTCGAGTCCAGAAATGACAAACCAGTGGGGATGACGGCAACCCCACAGTCCCCAGCCAGCACGACTGAACAGCGGGGCCCCAACCCATCTGGGTGGCAAGGCTGCCTGGAAGATGGAGGAGGCGATCCTGGGACGCCGGGGCAAAGTCTGAGGAGCCACAAGACACGTTGGCTCGCTGGTTCCAAGGCTGGAGACGGCGCTTCTGCCTCGGAGCTGGGCATCTCAGCTCTGCCCCGCTGCGGCCTGGGAAAAAAGAAAGTGAAGTGGCCTCCACAGAAGTGGCAGGGAGACGTTCTGAGGGGTGGCCTGGGAATAGATCGGAGAGGCTGGTGCACAGGATGTCCTGGTTCAAGCTCCCTTCTGCCTCCTCCAAGATGCTCCAGTGGCGGGGCGGGGGGGTGGTGAAAAAGCCCATCTGGCAGCAAATGTAGGTCGGGAATGTGGGGAGGCCGAGATTGGCTCCACCACCCTTCCAAGTCTGCATGGGATGTTTGTAACCCTCTGCGTTTGGGGGAGTGTAGGTGACACACCCTAACATTTATGTTGGCTTCCATTTTCATGGCCCACTTGATCAGATGCATGGCGTATTGTAGAAAGCTTCACGTTAATATACCGGTATATTGAGTAGGGCAGGGACTGGTTGGTCAACAGGCTAATAGTGCCCAATCAATTGAATTAGACCTCAAAGCACCATAAGATATTTGGTGTTTTTCTGCAATGCGTTAACAAGGTTCGCCTATGTAGTCCATGTTACATTTCCAGAGTGGCCAGACAAATACTGCTGGGGAGTCCGCACATAGATCCATATTCTGCTGCCTATGTTCCCCAGCAACTGCTGTTGGGGGGCTGACTGTCTTGGACACTGGTGGTAACAGTGCCATGCTAAATCCATCCTTAACTACCAAAAATGCTTCACTTCTCTGCCAAGACACATCAGCACGTCTGTTTCCTTTGCAATGATACTGCTCATTTCAGAGACTCATCGTAGCATGAGGTGCTCAAGGGCTTACCTTAGTGTAGCAAGCTTCTCCTGTTCGCCTGTGCTTTTTGGCCTCCGCACCTGCTCACACTTTCTGGAAAAACAATATGAGCCCAAGCAAAGATTTTCTCTCTTGGTGCATTCCAGCACTGCCACCTATTGAGTTCCTCCAATGAGGTGGCGGTGTCATTTAATAGAGTCCAACATGGCTTTGGACCACAATATCTGATGGAGCATCTCCCCCAGCTCCAACCTGCCTGGATACTACAACCAACGTTCAGGGCCTTCTGACTGCCACCTCCAAGGGGTTGCTTGCAATGAGGTCCCCACTCCAGGTCCCCACTTTAAAGGAGCTATCCGTGGTGCTAACCCTGGGTTGAGGATCAGCACCATGGCTATTTTATTTATTTATTTAAAACCTTTGGTTTAAAATATGCTATTTCATTGCTGTTCTTGTATACCACCTATCACTGACATCTCGGGATGGTTTACAAGAAAACCAATCAAATAGGATAAAAAGTACCATGGCATCCAAAAATAAATATAAAACCACGAATTAAGACAATTCACAATTAAAATAGTGGGGAAATAAAAAGGTTTTCACCTGGTGCTGAAAGGAAAGAAGCGTT